TAACGTCATTCACCCTCCTCCCCCCCCCCCCCCTTGCCCAATTATGGTCGAACGGTCAAATAAATTTTTTTCCTCCCTTTTCCCTCTTTTAGAGTGTATCGATCGTTCGCTGCGATTAAGAGCTTGTCCCGTTCATTTAGTTTTGAACGACTCGTAAAAAAAACGCAGAGAGAATCCAACGAAATCGGCGAGGCGAGGTAATTAATTCAACGAACGATTTTGTTTGTTTGTTTTTTTTTTTTTTTAACAGAGAGAGATTTGAATAAACTTCACGTTTCGAATATCGTCGTTTCCCACTATCTTCTACCTGTTTCCTCTGAAGAATGGCAGCAACGTTCGAGTCTCGTCGATTGTCGGCGATTATTTTACTAAGAGATCGAAGAGTAACTTAGTTTCTATCGCTCGAAATATACGTGAAACTACTCGCAGTAGTTTCCACGGATGAATCCTACGCACGATTCGAGGCCGAAAGCGAGAGAGGTGTCGGGAAAAACTTCCCCGCCGAAGTTCCGATCGCGTCTTAATGTCCATTTATGCGAAAGGTGTGTTTACTTGTGAAGTTCTTACGAGCAGCGAGAGGTGAAAGAGAACCGAGAAGCGAAGAATCATTCGGCGGAGCGAAGGGAAACCGATATTTAGCGGTGGGGGACAAGTTGAAAAGCTTGGGGCTCGTTTGCGTTGCAAAGTTGAAGAGCGAAGGCTCGAAACGTTATCAAGTATTTTTTTTTTTTTTTTTTTTGTTTAAGGAACGAAGCTTGTAAACATTCGACGAAACTTCGTACTGTAAACTTATCTCGTCTTATTTAGTGAATTTCTAATATATAAACTCGACGCGGGAAATTGTTGCACTCGAGAGCCGGCGCGAGTGCAACTTGGTGAACTTATCCAATTACTCAAGATGCTTGAAGTTGTCTAATTAACAATGAAACTGCCGGTGAGTCGTCGCGAGCGAAAAACAAACGGCGTTTACACGCGTCAAAACCCTTCTTTGTCGTGTAAATGTTACTCTCTCTCGTTGCACATGAACTAATTAAATAACCTGTACAGAGGATGATTTTTTTTTTCCTTCGAGAATGCTTAATTGCAAAATATCGGAAGACTATACTTAATTAATAATGACAACATGAATTTATGATAAGAAATATATTAAAATTAAACGACAGACTAGGGATTAGATTGGAGAAAATATTTTTATTAGGTATCTTGTCTGAAATATCCGAGATATTGAGATCGTTGTACTGAATGGGTCAGAAATCACTGTAAAAGGAGCACAAATTCGCGAACGTTTCTGACAATCGATATTTAGAGATGAGAAATAATTTTTGAAACACAATGAAAAAAAATCGTGTCTGAAACTTTCAAATTTAATTTGATATTAATGAAATTAGTGTTTTGTTGTATTTTATTTAAAAAAATACACGTGGGAAGAGACTTTTGAGACTCACCCTGTAGACGAAAGGAAATTTCACAAATGTACGTAGCTTCGTACGAGTTTCATTTCTCAGTTTAAAAAATGATGGAGCATATTTATCTTTCCCAGAGATTTGAACTTCATTTCGAATTCAGACGCGCGATATCGTCTGTTAGACTTCTAATCGCTTCTCCGTTTAAAAAAAACGAAAGTTACGACGGAGGATATTGTTTCCCTAGAGATTGACACTATTGTACAACATTGTTCTAGCAAATCAGCAATGCACGTTGACGATTGCTTTACGAAATTGTCAAATACCCATTTGAACGATGTATCATTTTATTCGAAGTGACGATGCTTCGTATAATAAATTGCTAGTAGACGATACGAAACGAGTTTGTCGAGAGCAAAGGTCTAAGAAGATTACAGAAGCTTCCCGATCGTTTGCTTCTTTCGATCGATATATTTATTTATTTATTTATTTATTTTTTTCAGAGAAGATTTTACTCGATCGGTGAACGGATTCCAATTAATTCGAATTAATTCCGATCCAATTGCAATATGCCATAACTTATCTCCAATGGACGTATACACGTTGGACGTTCAGGTCATCGAAATCACTATTCATTTGTGGCGCTTGTTATGGTCTAAACAATAGAATCACGATAATCCGACACCTAATAATCTGTCATCAATGAACAGCTCAATCGACGATCTATCAATACCGGTCCCTTTGTCAACGTCCCCTGTAAACGCGATTTCACGCGTCAGACGACGGCGTACAGTTTCCACACACACACAGACACATACACATCTCTCTGTGAAACAACGATTTTTATGAAAAAAGAAAAAAAGAAAGAAGCAACAAACAAAGATACGCCGAGCGATACTCCTTCTCGATTGAATTTCGAACGTAGCGACAATTTCATTTCGTTCTCGACTCGAAAACTCGATTCCCGCTGTTACGAAACAAACGGACAAACTAGAGTTCGTTAGAATTGTGTTTCCTCTTTTTTTTTTCTTTTTTTTTTTCTTTTTTCCAGCGAGTATAATTCGTCCTCTTTTCTGGGGGTGAGAAGGAGAACGACCCGTTTTCAGTTCACCTTTGCGATTTAAAACTCTTACCCTTCGTCGGATCCTGAATTTTTCTGCGTTTGTCGAAACGAAGTTTTGAAGGCGCAACATTGAAACACCAGAGTGCGAAAGATCGGGAATCTGTTTCTGGAAAGAAGATGACAGCAGAGATTATAATGTAAATAATGTTTGTTTAATAGGAGCAGTGATAATAGAGCAAATGTAATAATTAAACGAGACAAACATAATAATATTCAATCGACACGAATTAACAACTCAAATAAACACTTTTGACAACACAGTCGACACTTTTAACAGTTTTTTTTCTCTCTTACGACTCGGTTTCCCAACTCTGCTCTTTTCAAAAAGAAAGGCGCAAAATTGAAACATGCCTACGTTGTGCTTCTCGCATCACAATCATGTTTTATCGTATTTCTATGATCAACAAACCGGCCATCTGTTACACTTAAACTAACTATAGTCATTTTTAACTAATTATTTAGTTATATTTAAACATAACTAAAACTATAACTACAGATTGATTATAATAACCGATGCTCTACTTGCGACAAATTCGAATAAAATTTGCAACGAGAATGAAGAGATTGCAAAAATTCGCGCTCTACATTCAACGCTCAAATTCCAATAAACGAATATTATATATATTAATAACGTAACATTATTAATATTAACAATTCGAATATTCGAAACAAATTTACAACAGATTGAAATATATCTATCCCAATAAATAAATTCCGAATAAGTTAACGTTTAATCAAACTCTACCAAACTTCAAGCCTCAGTTTGTTGAAATCCTGCTCGACACGTTGACACAATTCTAATAATTAACAACCCACGTTGCGATCTTTCTGCTTTCACAGAGTCGTTCGCATTTTTCGCTTTCTCGCGCGAGGACAGAAATAAAATGGACGTAAGAAACAACACAGGGGACAATAACGGAGAGAGAGCGAACGCGGGGGAAAAACATCGTAGTTCGAATAAACGATTATTATATATATTAATAATGTAACAATATTAATATTAACAATTCGAATATTCGAACAAATTTACAACAGATTGGAATATATCTATCCCAATAAATAAATTCCAAATAATTTAACCAAACTTTTCCAAATAATTTAATCAAACTCTACCAAACTTTAGGCCTCAGTTTGTTGAAATCCTGCACGACACGTTGACACAACTCTGACAATTAACACCTCTGTTGCGATCTTTCTGCTTTCGCAGAGTCGTCCGTTTTCTCGCGCGAGAACAGAAATAAAATGGACGTAAGAAACAACACAGGAGACAATAATGGAGAAAGAGCGAACGCGAGGGAAAAGTATCGTAATTCGAATATTATATATATTAATAACGTAACAATATTAATATTAACAATTCGAATATTCGAACAAATTTACAACAGAATATATCTATCCTAATATATAAATTCCGAATAATTTAACGTTTGATCAAACTCTGACAATTAACACCCCCGTTTCTGCTTACGCAGAGTCGTTCGCGCTTCCGCGCTTTCTCGCGCGAGGACAGAAATAAAATGGACGTAAGAAACAACACAGGGGACAATAACGGAGAGAGAGAGAGAGCGAACGCGGGGATAAACATCGTAATTCGAATAAACGATTATTATATATATTAATAATGTAACAATATTAATATTAACAATTCGAATATTCGAACAAATTTACAATAGATTGGAATATATCTATCCCAATAAATAAATTCCAAATAATTTAACCAAACTCTTTCAAATAATTTAATCAAACTCTACCAAACTTCAGGCATCAGTTTGTTGAAATCCTGCACGACACGTTGATACAACTCTGACAATTAACACCCCTGTTGCGATCACAATTCTAATAATTAACAACTCTGACAATTAACACCCCTGTTGCGATCACAATTCTAATAATTAACAACCCACGTTGCGATCTTTCTGCTTTCGCAGAGTCGTTCGCATTTTTCGCTTTCTCGCGCGAGGAACAGAAATAAAATGGACGTAAGAAACAACACAGGGGACAATAACGGAGAGAGAGAGAGAGAGAGAGAGAGAGAGAGAGAGAGAGAGCGAACGCGGGGGAAAAGTATCATTGACCTTCCTTCTGCAATTCAAGGCTATCAGGCGGAAAATCCACGCGGGAACTTGCGGGATCGGTATCGAGGCGCGGAGGTGTTGCACGTAGCGCGATAGAAGGCGGGTGTAGGTCACGCGGAAATACCCTTCCCACTGTCTCATCCGTTCCCGAGACGTGGAAGCTCGTCGGAAGCTCGTCGAACATCGACGATGGGAGGGCTTACAGTCTGATCGACCTCTCGAGGTCGTTATACCAGGAAATGGAACGAGCTGTCGGCCTCCCAGAGTTATCGTCGTCGTTCCACGAGATACCACGATTTCCCCCAGCCGCCGATCGACCGAACGCTCTATCTATGAAACGCTGATTGTAATATTTGAACTTTCGAGCGAACATAAGAGATCCGACGTGCCAACGGTGACAGTCGATCCGGTGAGGAAATTTCCATTTTCTATACCGTTTATGAATGCCGCGACTGTCGCCTCTCGTTTTTCAATCCACTTCGATTTAACAACGCTCGCGCTGGCAACTGATCGCGGACCGTAACGAGCGACCGTGTTACAACAATTCGTCGCTTTCTTCTCGAACTCATCTGTACGATGGAATAGAGATTATCGAGAAGTGATAAATTTATCGTTTGCTTTGCCTGGTTTATATTTAAAACTGAGAAAATATATTTATGTTTAGTATACTTATAGTATATTTTCTCTAACATACTATACTATAAGTTTCTCTAATATACTATACTATACTTAAGTATAATAATTGTAAGTATAGTATACTTGTGGTATATTTTCTCAGTTTTAAGTATACTATACTATAAGTTTCTCTAGTATACTATACTATACTTAAGTATAGTAATTGTAAGTACAGTATACTTGCAGTATATTATCTCAGTTTTAAGTATACTATATTATAAGTTTCTCTACTATACTATACTTAGGTATAGTAATTGTAAGTATGGTATACTTGTAGTATATTTTCTCAGTTTTAAGTATATAAATATACTTAAAACCGAGAAAACATTACAACTTTGGGACAAAAAAGTTCTCGACATGCGTGAAGTCGTTCCAGCGCAAGGTTAAGTTAAATTAGACGAAATTTCAGTATTTAATTGCGTGTGAGAGTCACACTCAGTCCTACTCTCACGTGCAAGCCATTAATTTTATTATCTTGTTTATTCTAGTTTTGTCTAACGCGACGTTCCATTCGTTTTGAACTCGTTACGATTCTCCTGCAAAATTATAAACATCTATGCGCGAAAGATGAATACTGTCTCGCGTCTCAAGAGATTATTCGAAAAATTAGTATCATTTGCAAGTTTGACAGAAGATACTTTGTCATCAAAAATTTAGAAAACTCACGTTCTACATTACGATATAATTTTGTTTAACAAAACATGTCAGAGAAACGAGCGACGGTTAAAATGCTTCCTGTTTACCACTAACTCGCGAAAGTAACGGGAGAAAGAGAACAAAGATAAATTTACGTAACTCATTTGCTACGTCTGTTTCATCGTCCGATGTTTCCGAGGGTGGATTTTTCCAATTGAAATTTCAAATACGAGTGCAATAATACCGATACCTCTGCTTCAGTTCGAAACTCCCCGCTTCCAATCGAGAGTTCCCACTTAATACAAACGAAATGAAACAGGCGATTCCAACTTTGAGAACGACGGGGAAGCGGGGAGAGAGGAAGAGAAAGAAAAAGAAAGAAAAAAAAAGAGAAAAGGAAACAGAGTCTTCCGGAAGGATGACATCGCCCAGAAGAATATCAGTTGCGCGACTATTGGCGAGACTCTAATGAAAAAGAAAACAATCGTCTTTCACCGATTCTCGGTTGAGAGAACAATGAAAATAGAAAAGGAGACGAGGAAGAGGAAGAGCTGGAGAGAAGAGAGGACGAGAAAGAAGAAGCAGGGGAGAGAAGAAAGTAGAAAGAAAGAGCTTAAGCCCATGCACAGGGCGAGGTCGTTGCACTGTGAAGCCTTCGACGAATACCTTTGACCCGAAGGTTCAACTGCGAAACCTTATTCGAGCAATTCGATGAATAGCTTACAATTAGAGGAAGCGGGTCAAGAAAGAGAGAGGGAGAGAGAAAAGAGAGAAAAAAAACGAGAGAAAGCCACGACGAAGAAGGGAAAGAGAAAGAGAGAGTGAAAGAAACTGAGAGTGCAAAAGGGTCAAACGCCAACTCGATAAACAGAAGCCAGGATTTACGTTCCTGCAACGGATCCGTGTCCTTCGACAAGCTAAACCAGTGTCCACCGCGAGTCTTTCACTTCGTGCACCGAAAAATCACTTTCTCACTTGTTCTTCACATCATAGTGTCTCGATCCTTTCGCTACTGTTACGTTCCATTGCTACGTAGCGTCAGTGATTAATTTAAATTATTTTCTAGTGTTAGTCGATGATGTTGGAAAAGTGGTTTGTCTTGGGGAACACAATGTTCTTTCTATTAATAGTAATTTTCGAGTAATTTTGGTAATAATGAAAAGGCACAGAGTTAGTTTCATCTATTGGATATCACAACTGGTACTGTACGCCTGATACTTTACAGACTTGTTCTACTACAAGCGGGTGAAACAAGAAATATACTCGTAACTTACACAGTTTTAGAGTACCTTAGCATAAAAACGGAAATATATAAAACATTTTATAACAAACATTTATAATAAAGTGTGATTTAAAAAGAAAAAAACTGTAAAATTTTGTCATTTNTTATATAGCGAGAGTGGTTAATTTAAATTATTTTCTAGTGTTAATCGATGATGTTGGAAAAGTGGTTTGTCTTGGATTCTTTCGGGGAACACAATGTTCTTTCTATTAATAATAATTTTCGAATAATTTTGGAAATAATGAAAAAGCACAGAGTCAGTTTTATCACAACTGGTGCTCTACGTCTAATACTTTACAGACTTGTTCTACTACATGTGTTGTTTCACGCGGGCGAAAAACAAGAAGTATACTCGTAAGTATACTTTAGAGTACCTCAGGATAAAGACAGAAATCGTATATAAAACTTTTTATAACAAACATTTATAACAAAGTATGATTTAAAAAAAAAAGAACAACCGGAACGAATTTTCACTTCGAACGAAATTTCACAGCAACTGCGCTCACTCTGTTTTCGCCGCGGCTCCAAAATAATTAAAACACGCGAGTGAATCGTTGAAATAATTGAACCGAATAATTATCGACAAGAATCAATGAAATAATATTTCAGAGACTCACCGTACCGTTGAAATCCGCTGCGCGTTTCGAGAGTAGCGACGAGTAGGAAGTCCCAAAATAAACACGCGTGTCGCCTCGACAACCGTAACCATCGACCGCCGAACGATTTATGAAAGTCAATGCTGAAAGTCAATGTAGAGTCGTGACTGTGCAAACGTTGTACGACAGGGGAAGGGGGAATGGAAGGTGCGAGAGAAATGGAACAAGTGAACACTGGGCATAAATTTGATAAATAGAACGTTAATAAAATAACTCGGTGGTCATCCGACACCACGCGGTCACGTTCTTTCTCTCTCTCTCTCTCTCTCTCTCTCTCTCTCTCTCTCTGTGTGTGTATGTGTGTGTGTGTGTGTGTGTATCCTGTCAAGAAAAAAAATTTATATTTCTCCGCGTGTCGCGTCACTCGTCTGTTTCGTTGCTTTCGCGGACTTCATCCCTCGTCCTCGGCGAAAAAAAAATTATTTCACCACGGTGGTGGTGAATTTCTCCTTGGCTGCTACGATGATTTTCTTTCGACGAAGATGAAATTATACAACACGTGTCGTTCGTAAAAATAACTTTTATATTAATAATATATATATATATTATTTCTATATTAATAATAATTATAATATATTAATTATATATATTATTTCTATATTATAATATATTAATTATATATATATTATTTCTATATTATAATATATTAATTATATATATATTATTTCTATATTATTTCGTGCCCTCACATGTGATGTGTTCCTCATCTTTTGTTTTAGGTTCAGTCGATTTTTCACATTTTCTCGGATAAACTTTTCACCTCGTATTCAGCGTATTATTACATGAAAATGAAAGTCTGTTGATTTTACGGAATAACAGAATTGTGGTACTAACGTAGCCGAAAATTGTTTCCAATTATCGCCACTACTGGTTTTACTTTGGTTGACAATTTGTATAATTTGTGTTCAATTGATATTGATCTCGTAGTGCTTTTAAGACACGGATCTTCTTCATTAACGCATCTATAAAGGACTTTAATTTACTCAATCGTTTGCTTTCGTACGAACAACTCCAATCTCGCGGATTCCCCTCAAAAGAAATATTTGGGATCATCATTAATTGACAATATCGTCGCTGTTTTTATTCATTTCAAAATACCACGAAGGAAAAGAACGAATGGGTTTTTATTAAAATAGATTGGCTGACGAATAAAATACAATGACAAAACGTAAAGAAAAATCAATGTACGAACGTTTAGAGATTTAAATCTGAAGATCGAGATCCTGTTCGAAGAAGACTCGAAAGAAATTAAAACGTCAAGCTTTTCCCGCCGAAAGCTCCTCGGTCTCCTCCGGTTACGAGGTTCTCAACTCGCGAAGAAGAAACGCGGAGTTTGCACGAGTTGCTCGAGTGATCGATAAACGACGCGCGAGGAATTGAAAAATTCGTACAACGAGCGACACGGCGATGGAGAAAAAACTCGCAGAATGCGACGAGGCAACACCCGGTTAACTCGTTCTCAGCAAGCTTCAGAGAGAAATTTACGAGCAACCGCGACCTTAATATCGCGAAGGCTTATCGTCAAGCTTAATCCACCTCTTGGAACTTTACGATTTTTAAAGTAATCGTGTTACTCCAACCTCTTGCGCTGGCAACTGGTTTCGCGGACCATAACGAGTGACCGAACCGTATCGCAATAATTCTTCTTGAACTCGTCGGTGTGACATCACTGGATAGAAATTATTGAGAAGCAATTTAGCGAATTTATTACTTGTTTTGCCTGGATTATACTTAAATATACCCAAAAACTGAGAAAATGTTGCAATTTAAGACAAAAAACTCTCGACGTGCGTGGCACAGGTTAACCACTTGCGCTGGCGACTGATTGCGGACCATAACGAGTGACCCAATCCTATACAACAATTTGTCGCGTTCTTTTTAAACTCGTCGGCATAATATCACCGGATAGAAATTATTGAAAAGTAATTTAACAAATTTATTATTGCCTGTGTTTTGCCTGGGTTATACTTAAATATACTGAGAACTAAGTTTTATACTGAAAACTAAGTTTATTTGTCTGTTAGTTTTGCCTGGGTTGTGCTTAAATATACTGAAAACTAAGAAAATATTGCAATTTTGGGACAAAAAACTCTCGACGTGCGTGGCACAGGTTAACTGATTGCGGACCATAACGAGTGACCGAACCGTATACAACAATTTGTCGCGTTCTTTTTAAACTCGTCGGCATAATATCACTGGATAGAAATTATTGAAAAGTAATTTAACAAATTTATTATTGCCTGTGTTTTGCCTGGGTTATACTTAAATATACTGAGAACTAAGTTTTATACTGAAAACTAAGTTTATTTGCCTGTTAGTTTTGCCTGGGTTGTGCTTAAATATACTGAAAACTAAGAAAATATTGCAATTTTGGGACAAAAAATTCTCGACGTGCGTGGCACAGGTTAACTACTTGCGCTGGCAACTGATTGCGGACCATAACGAGTGACCGAACCGTATCATTCCGCAATAATTCGTCGCTTTCTTCTTGAACTCGTCGGTGTGACATCACTGAATTGAAATTATTGAGAAGCAATTTAACAAATTTATCATTTGTTTTGCCTGGGTTGTACTTAAATATACCGAAAACTAAGAAAATTGTTGCAATTTTGGGACAAAAAATTCTCGACGTGCAGCGCAAGAGGTTAAATGCAGGTAATAGGAAGCCCCTAGGTAATGTGAAAAGATAAACCAAAGATTTTACAACTAAAAAAAAAAAAAAAAAAAAAAAAAAAAAAAAGCGAGGCGCTTGATTTCATCTTTGCTCGCAGTCAGTCGACCAATACTGCCCTCCGTCAGATCCGCTAGATAATTTCGTCTCCGGCCAGATGTGAAAACGATCGGCTCGTCGAAGCGAGACTAAGGCGTCTTTCGTCGCGCTTTCACGCTTCGCTCGGACGTTTTCACGCGGCGTGAAGCCGCGTCGGCCATCATCAATCTTGGACAGCAAGGGGTTAACACGTTCATCTCCCAATTACGCGGTTCTTCCTTCCGCGAGGGAGGATTTGCATGCCGCCAATCCGGTGACTCCTCGATAAATCGGCCCCTGCATTTTTATCCCGGCTCCTTCCACTGCGGATGGGCGGATAAACTCGCCGACGGTGTTTCGTGAACCGTGGTTTCTTATTTCTGTCAGGTTCTATCGTCTGTTTGGCTTCCTCGTTGGTTTTATCGCGTAATTAGATCGTAGATTGCTCGATTGTGGTTTCGAAAACGTTCGTCGTTTCCCATCAGGGCTTCCTCGTTGCTGAATGTTCCTGCTTCGGACTTAGTTTGTTACATTTTATTTAATCAGCCTTATCCCTAGTTTATAAACGGGAGTGACTTATTTATTGTAACACTATATTTATAATAATATGTATATTTATAATAATATTTATATTAATATTATATAATATTTAAAAGAATTCATGTGACATTTTGACACATCCTAAATTAACCCTTTGCACTCCGAATTATTTTTCAATTTCTATAATTATTTTTTATAATATATTATATATTGTTATATATTATTGTATATTTATATTAACATATATATTAATCCCTAAGTCTCCTAAATTAACCCTTTGCACTCCGAATTATCTTGCAATTTTTATAATATATTATATATTATATTCTGTTATATATTATTATATATTTATATTAACATATATACTAATCCCTAAGTCTCCTAAATTAACCCTTTGCACTCGGAATTATCTTTCAATTTTTATAATATATTATATATTATATATTGTTATATATTATTATATATTTATATCAATATATATATTAATTACTAAGTCTCCTAAGTTAACCCTTTGCACTCCGAATTATCTTTCAACTTTTTTTTTTTTTTTTCTTTAACTGGTAATGTTAAAATGTCGAATGTGATGACTCGACAAAGGGGTGCAAAGGGTTAAGGCTCGAATAAGAGATTTGAGCAATAAATGCCAGACGTCAACTGATATTATTTCAAACTGATCAGTCTTCTTTGCTCATCCTTACTCCTTCTTGAATACTTCTCTCACAGTTTCAATTCCCAGTGAAAGTTCCATTAGTTTCATTCCATTCCAACTCGATTATTATTCGAATCCCCATCGGGGCTGTTAGATCATTAGAAAGTGTCTCCTCTCTTATACCATGGAACGATTCACGTCTCAGCGAGGCGTTAATTGAAACACCTTGGTATTGGTTCTTCGGTAAACATAAACGCGGGGGAGGAAAGATTCCTGTCGAGCGCGTTTCCACGCGCGAAAAGTTGCACACTGCTGGTTGGTAGCGAGCAACGGAGCCGAGATTATGACACAGGAAATTCAATGGAAATCCTTCTCTCCCCTTTTCGGTTCAGATATTCCTCCGTCATCGACGGCGCTGCTTCTTTGAAAACGGCAGGCACACATCTGGTGGCGCTTAGGTTCGCCACTCCATCAAAGAATTACGACCTGGTTCTGCAGAAGCGTACACTCGAGAGTGTAAATCCTCGATTTCAAAGAGACAGAGACAGAGAGAGAGAGGGGGGGGGTAAGGAGACTTGTCTCTCTTTGTCTGTCGAGAGGAGATGATAAGAGTGGAACAGGAACAAGAAGACCCTGTTTCGAAGGATCGTCACCCAGCTTTCACCTATATTATTCACCGTTCAAGTGTGATCGCTTCATCGTGATGTCAAAATGTTGCAGTTTCTCTCTCTCTCTGTTGTTCCTTCGTTCGTCGAATCGAAGGAAATTTATGGAAACTTTTAGAATGTTCAAAGCGTACGTAGACAGATCCTCTCAATTACGCACACTTGTAAAAATCTATTACAATTCATCGTCACGTTTGGTTGAATGAAATTTTAGACAGCGTGTCAATCGAATAAGCTTGCTCGAACGTACAAATGATTACAACTCTCGATTAATCCACTCGTTTCACACTTCGCTCACGTTTCGTACATACCTGTTCATATTTCAATTCGTATCTCCGTTGAGCTCGTTCAAACCATACTTTCCATTCCCCAGCAGCGAACAGTCCCTCCGATCCCACAAATTTGATCCTCAGAATGACGATGAATCACGCCCTTGCCAAAAAGTTCCGCCATAACGTAAAAACCGCTGGCTAACTTTCCTCGCGGCCATCACCCATAAACACAAAGAACACCGGTCCATTTCTCGCGATCGAGCACCCACTGGACCCAGCAGTTCGACCCAACCTTCCATAAACTCCGCGAAAGTCAATTAAATCACTGTGCCGCGTTCCCGATTTCAAGCACATAATTTACCAGCCAGGCTCTAAATCCTGGGAGGTATCCTCCATGGAGTAGCATGGTACCATGTTTCCTTCCGTGTTGTTTCATGCTCCTCTTCTCAACGCGGCGCGATCCCCCCTCGTAAGAATCATCCTCCTTCTTTCGCCTTGAACGAACCTCCTGTGAGCACAGGGAGAGGCACTACATTTCTGAAAGTCCCCGGATAACTTTCTCATTCGCATTCCGGCTCACCTATTTCTCTATTCTCTCGTGACGCTGGCGTATCTCATGGCGAGCATGGCAACAAAACGCTTCGCGGCGGAAACTTTTCCTACCACCCCTCCCAGGCCGGACTATCCTCGCGAGGACGTGGAATTCCGCTTGGCGAACGCGAGCGACGCGTCGTCGTCTTCTTCTTCTTCTTCTTCTTTTTTCTTTCTTTTTTTTTTTTTTTCTTTTTCGTTCGCTTTCTTCCTCCTCGTTCCTCCTTCCCGTGTTCGCCGGACGGATGATAACTGGCGAAGTAAGGTGGAGGAGGAAAAGTTTTCTTCGAAAACTTCGCAACGAGTTGACGATTTTTTCTGTCTCTCTCTTTTTTTTTTTTTTTTTGTTTTAAACATGGCGTGGGAAACGGTTTCAACGGACGAGCGAGCATCAGAGCCTCCACAGTCTTTGTCGAATTTTAGTACTTCCGGTTTGTTACGAGTGCCTCTGTGCCGCGAGAAAATTAATGAAAGCACGTTAAATTTCGGTCGATCGGTGGATGTTTCAAAAAAAATGTATAAAATGTACGAGAGTGTAGAATAACGTGCCAAGTATTAACCAACCCTTGACTGGGATATCGTTGGATATTAAAAGTTATTTGTTTTTCATTTATTTAACTGAATAGAATTCTATATGAATGGAATTTTTAATTTGATTTCTTACTTTGTTGGGAATCTCTGTCAAAAGGAATGTAAAGCACAAACTACAAAATATTTTTTTACATTCGCAAAGTGAATTGCTGAAAATTTAAATTCATTGCAACGTGATACAGGTTACTAGACTGCAGATTTTTCTCGTGCATAATTCGTACGTTTGAGAGACGGCTTTATGACTACAAAAATAGGATTTCGATCATGTATCAAATATTATTGTAAGAACTGGATTTCCATGTTACTTGCATTCCGTGCAATCTGACGCTCTAACGCTAGCTAAAATTTCCATCGTAGAGATTGAAGACGAAAATATAGAGAAACCTGATAATACAGTAAAGTATGGAAATTTCTATTCTATTCTAAATGTTTCAAAATCTTAGAAAATGTTTTTACACCTATAAGACGTCCGACGAAAATAATTATCAATTGGTCGCTTTGACTTTAATGGTTCAAAGTTTTCTATAAATGCATACTCGTCTATGACTCAACTGATATCACTTGAATTTTTAAATCTACTTCTTCAATTTTACATTGCCGAACAATACGTGAAACGGAGAACTATCATGAAAGATTTTGAAAGAATTTGCGTGTCTTTCTTTGCGAAAAACATCAGAGGCAAGTATTCATCTGACGGGTAGTCGATGATTCAATAAAATATTGTTGAAAATTTCTGAGGTACCGAGGCTTTAAGGTGCTCTGTATCGGTCCTTGGTTCGCTCGCCAATTCCCGGAAATTGCAGCTCGAATATACGTTGGAAACGTGTTTCGATATCCTTACGGAGATCGTTACGAGTTTTTTACGAGCTTCAGGATAGAAGAGAGCAGATACATATTCAAATCTCCTGTTTATTGAATCCGCGTTCCTCCTTGCTGCATCGCTCGCCACTTTCCAATGGCAGAATACACGCGTACTCGCGTGTTCTCAATAGAAAACTCATTCGTTGTCACCAAAGTATATTCCTGAATTTTTCCAACTTTTTCATCGGAATTCGGATGGAATTTTCCTGGCTTTTACAATGAGCTTGAACAATTAACTTCGATGAATCAAAGAACACAATAATTTGTGTAAACAAAGTACCATATAAATATCGAAACTGAAGATTTGAAAATTTCGGTACGGCAAAGAAGAATTCCTAAAAAAAAAAAAAAAGAAAAAGACAAACATGTTCAAAGGTACGAATCGTGAAACACTGAAGCCGAAGACTCGAACGATTTTGGAGGCGCGTTTGCGAACGAAGTGAAAGAAACGCGCGGAACTGGTAACATTTCGAAAATCGCGGGATTCGAGACGGTGTCCGAAGTCAATTGAATTGAATAAGGCGGCGGCGAGGAAATGAAATGGAAAGTGAGCGTGGCTTGCCGCAGGAATTAAAGCATCTTCGTTTAGTAACTGCGCCTCGGTAAATTCAATTGAGAGTTATGAAAATCAGGGAACGCTCAAGTTGGGCCATTATCAAAAGCCTAGGCGAAGTGAGAAGCATACCTTCCCGCAGTCTTAATTATTTCGGCTGTTCTGTGCGTAGTTGCTTTCAGTTTAGTTCATTAACTGGCTACGTTCGTAATACATAATTTCACCGTCGAGTGAAAATCAGAGAAACGAGGCGTTTATTTGCGAAACGAAATCTAATAAGGCATACTCGTTTCTAGCTAATTATTTCTTCCATCAGATTTTCTTTCTGAGTCTGGATCGGAATAGCCACGAATGGCGTGCTCTATCAAAAAATTATTATTTGTTATACTAACCGCGGCAGAAAGTTCTCGAATGTATTTAAAAATATTGAAATCCATTTGGGAATCGGTGATCTTAGTTTTTCATACGTCTCACTGTTTTCAAATATATATATTTATATATCATATATAAATATATATATTTATATCAAATATATATAAATTATATGTTTGTATTATATATAGATTATATATCTGTATTACATATAAATTAAATTTGTTTTAAAAAAAACTAGATATTACTATATATACAACAAACATTTAATTTCTAAATATATATTTATTTTTTTTATTTTACGAAAATAATATATATATATATATATATATATTTAGATCATTTACTAACCGCGGCAGAAAATTCTCGAATGCATTGTATTTAAAAATATTGAAATCCATTGGGAATCGGTGATTCTAGTTTTTCATACGTCTCACTGTTTTCAAATATATTTTATATTATATATAAATTATATGTTTGTATTATATATAGATTATATATCTGTATTACATATAAATTAAATTTGTTTTAAAAAAACTAGATATTACTAAATATACGACAAACATTTAATTTCTAAATATATATTTATTTTTTTTATTTTACGAAAAAAAATATATATATATTTAGATCATTTACTAACAACGGCAGAAAGTTCTCGAATGTAATGAATTTAAAAATATTGAAATCCATTGGGAATCGGTGATTCTAATTTTTCGTAGATCACACTGTTTTCAAATATATTCTATATTATATATAAATTATATATCTGTATTATATATAACTTAAGTTTATTTAAAAGAAAACTAGATATTAATAAATATGACAAACATTTAATAATTAAATATATATTTATTTTTCTTTATTTTACGAAAAAATATATATATATTTAGATCATTTACTTTCGAGATAATTAAATTATTAAAATAAATTAATTAACCCTGATACAAACAGTGCAAAAATAAATTTCACTTATTTATTTAAAAGAAAAATTCATTTTCATTACTTTTAACTATTAATAATATATATATAATACATTTTCGTCGAATATTTTCTGCCAGGGATTTTATCAAACAAACGTTGTTATTAATATCGCAATCGAAATGCCTATTCTACTTGAAAGCACGAAAGACGACAAATTCTAAGAAAATTACAGCTAAGACACAAACGTTCGTGTTGAAAAGAGAAAATTCTGAAAAATCTGTAGAGCACGCGCGTAAAAAAAAAAAAAAAGAAGCAAAAAGAGAGATACCTCGAGGAACTGGTGGAGAAGTATGAATTTGCGAACGACAAACGATATAAATGGAAATCTTTGTTTCTGCGGCTCGCGCGTGGCTTCGTTTCAGCTTCTGAATTTTCGTCCCCGGCATCGAGGCCCGTAGATAATGAAACGAAAACTTTGCTCGTTCGGGATAACCTTCCTTCCTTCCTTCCTTCCTTCCTTCCTTCCTTCCTCGAGAGAACTGAAACTGACCAATCTTACCTTATCCGGATGACTGCCGCGATGAATAAAACAGCACGCAAAGGAAATCATACCGGCCGATTTCTTAGCTCTCGTTCTTGCCTCTCTCTTTCTCTCTCTTTGTTTCCTTCGCTCCTTTTTTCGCTTCTCTCGCGTTTCCACGCTCGACCTTTCCGATCGTTGAAAGCACGGAAGAGCTTTTTCCTGCGAGGCAAGCAAGTCTTCTGATCAAGGAGGTCCACGGTCCACGAAGAAGCAGCAAAGAAGGGGATAGGAGAGGAGAGAGGAGACTGGCAAGTCGAGTCTCTCTTTCCCTCTGTCTCGGATCGTGGAATTATGGATTTAACAGCCTCGCTGGTTGCCTCTTTGCGAGAGCTTTAGGCAGCTTTAATTAAAATTGTCAGCAATGCGCGTAGTTTCGCGGTGATGTTCGTGGCGAGTTTCCCCGAGAAATGCTTCTCTCTCTCTCTCTCTCTCTCTCTCTCTCTATTTCTCGGCGCTGCGCGATGAACAATTGAGATAGTTTCATCGTGTTTGTTCCGTACGAATACGAGTTAATGACGTAAATTCACGTAAAATTGTGAAAAATTCCGTGCTCTTGCTCGATTTCACTTACAATTAGAAGCGTTTCTTTATATCTTCCAAAGGATGAAAAATCCGTCAGATCAGTGACTGACAGAGAATGTTTCAAAACTCTGTGAATCCTCTGTTCCTCTTGTGCTCTCTTTACAGTGAGAATTCTTTCTTTGGAGTT